ATGTAATTCATTCGTGATACAATAACCTCTAGAATAGGTCCTCTATCACCACCGAGTAAATGAATTTCGTCAATAATCACAAGTGAAACGGCTTTAACATAACTTCTATGTTGCCAACTACGACTTATACCATCCCACTTTTCGGGTGTTGTAATAATGATATCGGCATTTTCAATAGAACGCAAATCCGGGGTAACATCTCCTGTTAACTCTACAAGTCGTTTTTTCATTGGACCTGTTAACCTAGATTGCCAATCATCTACACGCTCGCGAACTAAAGCTTTTAATGGAGCGATATAAACTACCTTGGAACGTGGATGTTCACGAAATGCCCACCTTAAAGGAGCCAGACAAAGTATTAATTTTCACGCGTGATGAAAAATAGGGTACAATTCTTTAACTCACCACATTGCTAACTCAGCAGTAACCGTTTTTCCTGATCCTGTAGGTGCGCCAACCAATACATTGGTTGAAGAATTATAAATTGTTTCAAATACCTGGGTCTGTACAGGATTGAAATGAGTAAATCTCTTAGAACATATATTTTCAAGTGTTTTATTTTTAAGAGCAGTTACAGGTAATGGAGGTAAATTCAACAATTCTGTATGTTGATGATAATTTTTAGGCAAAACCAGATTGTTTAAAGAAACTGGAAGAAATGCCTCAGCTCCTATCCACCTATCTGATATGACACGAATATATAATTGAGGAGGTAATTCTTGGATTGGAATTGCGAACCCAATCTTTTGAGTTTCACCAAGCTGCTTCCTGTTTAATATAAAATATTCTGAATGATATAATTCAACATTTTCAGAATCCTCGACGAATATCCACCATGGTTCTACAATACCGTGAATACGATCATTCCAAACGAAATCAGGAGTAATACTAAGAGTTACTCGTAGAATATTACGTGTAATAGGTGCAACTTGTGCTTCTAATTTAAGCATTGGAAACATGTCTACACATTTAGAAATATAAGTGCCCATGCTATTCTGCCTAACTAATTGTCCAAGTTCAGCCGAGGACATATCTCTCATGTCCTCTAATGAAGGGATGTGTGAATTATTTTGAAGCTTCATTATAATCTCTCGAGGCAGTTTAAATTGAGCCAAAGGATTCTCAAACGTCCACATACGTTTGTCAATACATTTACATAAATCTAATAAAATGGACGAAACTTGAGCCCAGTTACGATTCAAAGCAATTTCGAATAAAGCTCGAACTATGCGACTTGTATTCTGTATTACATACGCTGAATCAGATATTAAAGCAAAGTCTTCAAGATTAGCATTTGATAGGTATGCTTGTAATAAAATATTGACTTTTCCAGCAGTATCATCGGTAGTTTGCTATTTATATAATAATAAATCAAAGAAAAGTTAATAATTTCTTTAGAAAATTTCATCATCACCGGGATATGATACAACCTTAATTTGACAAGGACAAGCATTTTCCTTAAGTCTTTCAAGTTCTTTAGCCTCCTCTTCTCTTGATTTCAAATCCGCAAATTCGCTGCTTTGACTTATTATTGATAGGATATTGGCTTCTTTCATAGATTCTTTCAGTTTTTCATTAAAGATTTCCATGCTTTTGTATGTTATATAAAAATTGGAAGCGATTCGACCAATATCTTGAATTTCGAAATAATCAGTATCTTCGTAGAACTTGATCATTCCAATTTTATGAAGTGTCTTTGCAGCATTCACAATAAGTTCGCGTCGTTGTTTACCTAACTCTGGATCATTTTCTATTTCCGAATAATTCATTCCATATACAAGTGGGTTCTTTTTCATACGTACGAACAGATAAGTATAACCCAGCCATCGAACTCCTTCATCAACATTTGTCACTGTGCCGAGTGAAATCTCCGCATTCAAATTGTCAACCATTTTATCTACGAATCTATGGAATTAATCAAAATAGATTAGAATAGTGATTCACCAATCAAATACAAGTTCAAGCTAGGATGGATTTACTTTGATTCAATAGGATGTTGTTGTGTCATTGCAGACACGTAGTGTGATAGTTTGTCATTTGTTGTCAAAATATAGCCAACGCCATGCGTTTCATACTAATTGATTAGGATTATATATAAGTAAAAAAAGATTTATTTATTTTTAAAAAAAAAGATAAAATAAAATAAAAATAAAAATAAAAACAAAGCATTATGTTGACAAACCTGGGGACGACCTGCTCTACCAAAGATCTGCATAACATCTAAAATTGATAAATCATCAAATCTACCCTTTTGAGAATCATATACTTGCGTTCCCTTAATTATTACTGCATAAGCCGGCAAATTTACACCCCAAGCTAACGTTGCAGTACAACACAAGACCTAAGTAATACAAAAAATAACCTTTACTATGATATAACAAGTTAGAATAGTTGAATCACTCTATTTTGGAAGGTAAATATGCCTTTATAAATCCTTCAGAAAACAAACGCTCTGTCATTGATCGATCAGCTCTCAACATGCCGGCATGATGAATACCAAGACCATATTCAAACAATTCTTTTAATTCTTTATTTCTTGATTTCGTAACATCTCGCTTTCTAAGACTATACCCTTCAAGAGTAGACACATCAAATAAATCTAATATTATATTTATTAATGTCAAAAGGACTTTAGCTTGTGAAAAAATTTCTTTATAACAAGAAATGAAATTAGTCATTACCTGAACATCCATATTCGGATGCAAACTCATGTAGCACCTTTGCCGTTTTAACGGTATCTTTACGTGAATGAACAAAAATCATCACTTGATGTTTTTCTCTGATGAGATCCAAGACCTATAGAACAATAAAGAAAAAAAAAGTTTAAAAATATTCAATGAAATTTCAATAAAATGCTTAAATACTTGTTAAAAATCTTACTTTCTTCCAGCAAACCATATTGAGGTTATTATTAGAAATAATTGAGCCGGGCTTACCCTTGACACCAATAAAATGTTGTTCTAACGGTACAGGTCTAAAACCACCGTCAAAATAAAATAATCCCTCGGCACCATTTTTTAGATCAACTCTATAAGAAGTTTATATATATATATTTTTTTATTCTATTAAATCTAATATACCGTTAAAAAAATATATATACCCTAAAAATCGAGCTACATCGACATAGTTTGGTAACGTAGCGGAAAGGCCTACAATACGGATCATATTTTGACTTGATTCGATCTAGAATAATTCGTAAATAATTTACTAAGCAAAAAATCGTATGTGAACAAATAATTCATGAGTTCAAAATTATATAATACCTGACGACGGGTACGTGCGACTAAACTTTCAAGAACAGCACCACGATCCTCATGTAATAAATGAATTTCATCAATAATAAGAAGTCTCACTTTCTGCATATAATGTGAGATTATAGAAAGTATCATAAGTATGTTATATTACTTGAAAATTAAAAAATAATTTATGGAAAAACCATACTTGAGAAAGCTCGACGTCTCCTGTGCTTTTTCTTGTAACCACATCCCATTTTTCGGGGGTCGTAACAATAATTTGTGTATTTGAAATTTCAGATTTAGTCAGTTGCATGTCTCCTAAATTATTCAGATAGAATTAGTGTCACAAATAAATAATACTGTGTACTTAACAGGAATAATTAAGATACCTGTAAGTTCTCTAACTTGCACATCAAGCCACTTTAGTCGATCGCCAAGTTTTTTTACAATTTCGGCAGCAAGAGCTTTCATAGGAGCAATATACACGATTTTAAAATCATCTCGATATATTATAAACTCTTGAGGCTCCTGTTGGACCAACGGTTCCGGAAAGCAATAGCACTTTATCGTACGTAGTATTGTAAGAATGGCTATATCTGTCTTTCCCTATAATAAATTCGTTAGGTAAATATGGTTCAGCTTCAATATGCGAAATTAATACATACCGCTCCGGTAGGGGCACAAATTAATAAATTCTCATTTTTTTTATATGCAACAGGGTAAACAAGTGATTGTACGCGATTCAGTGTTTTATACTATTGAATCAAATTAAAGTTAAAAAGCGATTCATCTTATGTAATAAATGTATAAAACTTGCCTTAAACGAACCCCTACAAAGATTATCGGTTTCATTCAGATGAATTAACTTCTCATTTTCCATCTGTAGAGCTCGCCTAGTAATCGGAATGCTAATTTCTTCGTGATCCTATATAAATAATTGTTGTTTAATAATAAATAATCTGATAAATATTTATCATAAGATGAATTACTTACTTCAAAATCTTCACGTTTAGTGCCAACTGGTAGAGAATATGTGCTTCCAAACACGGAAAGTACGCTACCCGTCTGGGCATTTCCAAAAACGTGTTTATAATTTTCAGATGGAGTGGACTATATATACAATATGAATGTTAAATATATAAATAATTATATAAATTATATAATAACTAATTTATCAAACATTTGTTACAGAAGAACTTGATTAATGAAAAACGAACACTTTTGGGACGTAGCGGACTATCTGTTGCGGTACGCAATGCATTTTCCCGAATGGCTCGTAATTTATCAGCACTAAACCCTAAAATATTTGCCGAGTTCAAATCTTCTTCCTCTTTGCAAAATGGAATTATAATAGACATTAATTTTTTATTTTGAAAAAAAATTTCCAATAATCAATCTATCTAAAAAAAAAAAGAGAGCAATAGACACCTGTGCTTTTTTGTTTTGCTGTTTTTTTCTGATCCCTCCATGCATGCTTTGGTATCCTTTCATTCACTGGATTTTTATCTTTAGGTTTAATTATAGTAATAGAGGAATGCTTCTGTGAATCCTATATAAAATAGGACCAGAATTAAATAAAACTTGTGCAATAAAATATCGAAATTTCAACTTTAATTAATAAATTAGACTTACTGGTGGGGTTTCTACTAATAGTGATTTACTAATAATATTTTCAAGGATTGTCAACCGTTTAGTTACCAGTGTAGTAACAAAATTTAGGTTATCGAAGCCAATGAGATCGACCAATTCTGTTTGAATATCGTCATCTGGAAAATATTATCAATAGTAAATTTATTAATAGAAACAAAAGCAAAATTATAATCTTACAATACTAACCTCCCATATCTGACCTCAGTATTGTAAAAATGCTTGTACATAACTTTTCGGGAGTTATCGCTCCATCTGCATCACAGAATGAGGCAATATGTAATTGACACTGACTGGAGATCCAATTATGATCGTAATTAAATAGAAAATGAATTATACAAAGGAAAAACATAAATAAATAAATAAAAATTAATACATACCCTAGTAACCATTCCTTGTCATATGACACATTTTTATCCCGGTCAAAGTCGAGATCTTCATCATGTGTACCAGAATCACTATCGGAATAGTCATCATAATAATATGTAGATGGAAGGTTGTTATATATAAGATCAGATCCATATTCATCTTCCAATAATTCATCATCTAGTTAAATTCGACGAATAAGTTCAATAGAAAAAGGTGAATTCCTTCATAAAATACGAAAAAACAAACCTCGAAATTCCTTTTGAATACTACATGTTAATTGAAAGATTCGATTATTAAAAGAAATGGATAAAAATCATATATATCACATAAAGATCCAAAGAAATTTAAATCACCTTCGACTTTTTTGAAGAATTTCTTTGAAATTTGACAAATTATTCTTCCATTCTTCTTGAACTTTGTTTGCATGTTTTAACAAGACTGTTGCAAGATCAGCGGCATTGGCTTTTCCTTTACCCTTTTCCTTTACTTCATTTTGACGTAACAAGTCAGAAATCTTTAAATAACCAGGAACGTTCATGTGTAAAGAATGCGTCTAGAGAGGAAATTTTGGTAAAGTGAATGAACTTTGGCGCAAAACAAAAATTTCGGAAAAACTAAATTTTTTATACTTCTTGATCCGCCAATCGGAATTTATTCACGTCATGTCAATCTTTAATCATCAAAGATTTTTTTTTTACCGAAAAACCTAACAACAATTCACTCAAAATGGATCTAGATATAGACATACCATATTTTTTTTCTAGCCTTGCGGGTGAAATTGAAGCTAATGCTCAAAAGTCAGAGTTGAAAGCACAGCCAAGACAACAAATTAAAAGCCACAATAGCAATCCAAATGATATCTTTCATAAATTGTTAGAAAAGGTGAATCTAAAGCCATGTGATTTCCTCGCATTAACGAAAGCACTAAATGAACCATATTTAGATCAATTATTGTCTTGGTTATTAATGACAGCGGAATCCAAATTATCGACACATGAAGTAACATTCACAGCTAATGTAGAAAATAGTCAAGAAAGTCAAGTTCAACCGAATCAAACTTCCCCAATAGCTTTTTCAATAGGACAAGAATCAGCATCACGAACACAAAGCGAATTTTTTCCGTTGAACATTGTGAGATCTAAAATAAGAAAGAGAGATGGTGCAATTGTTACCGAAGAGAATGAAAAGAATCAAGATAAAGGAACAATTAATGATCAACGACAAAAAGTCAGTTCAATAAATGCCGGAAACTACAAGATGATAGCAGATACTAATGGAAATGGTAAATTAAATGTGATAATTTGTTTATTCCAAAGTTTTTTTGGTTTTTTAATAATAATTATTATCGTTATTTCATCTGATATCAGAGATCACGAGATATAGTATATTCGAAATGAATAACATCGAGAATAACCGAGAGCTGGAGAAAATGATAGAGACTGGATGGTGGGTACTTAATCTTGGCATTAGTAGAATTTCATCAACTCAAAATCATAGTCGTGACGGTGAGATACTTCAAACGGTAATTCGGTTTTGTGTAACAGATCGGGTACTTGCGAGGATTGTGAAATCATTAAATCACGACGCAAGTTCATCACATGCAAGGAAATTAACAGACGAATCATATTCAAACCTTATCAAAGCACGGATCGGAACTATTTACACAAAATATGGATCAAATGAAGTATTTAATTTTATCGATCCGATTTTTCGAGACATATTCGAAAAATTACTGATAGCCGTCATCAACAATGAAGATGGAGCGAACGAAAACGAAATATTGGAGAAAACCTTTTCAGGACATTTCACGGATCCCGAAATTTTAAAAATTAATGATAATACGATAGATTCTCACATCCAACAACGTTGTCATTCTATCTCTTACACTCGCTGGAGGGTATTCGGCGATTATTCAACTAAAGTAAATGATGCAAGTATGAAAGCTTTTAACGCGCATCCAGAATATTATTGTATTTATCAAGATGATAGTGACATTCTTGTCGAAGTGTACATGGGAAGTAAAAAATTTGCCGAAGTTTACAGTAAGTTCTGGAAGACGGCATTATATGAAGCATTTTGGATGACATATGAAAAGCTTGGTTTAAATATTTACGATAATGATAAAACTAAGGTTTTGAGCAATACATATTTAGGTTTATGCAAATAATTCGTTCAATTTCGGTTGATGCACATTTTGATGCTTTTTATCAACCAATTATTTTATTCTTCTGATGCACAAAATTGAATGAGGGTTTTGTTGTGAATTTTAGGTAAGTTTTTAGGAATTTATCGTTATTATTTGTATTTTTGTTCCATTAAAAAATTTTATGATCGTAATAGTGTAAAAAAATGCGCTTGAATTTTTTTATCTACCATATTTTAGATCGCGAACTTTTTGTGGATTCGATGATCAAAATGGCTAATCGGAGCATTATAATAAAAAATTCAACTCTGTAATTATATATTAATTGAAAATTTATTAATGCACTTGATCAATTTTAATAAAAAATGTTTTATTAGAAAGTTAAATGAAATTCAGCTTTATAAGTTATTAGTTGGAGAGATTATTTATAACAGATCTTAGTTATAATTAAACATTAATTTTTTATTATTTATCATTATATATTAAAAAAATATTTTTTTTCCTAACATTTTAAATTGATTAAATATCTCTTGTTCTTGCTTAACAATAATTAAACTGTACATCTTTTTAGGATTTGCTAAGTAAGCTTGTTCATATCATAAATGCTGATCAACATTATTAACCAATAAGAATATAAATAATCGAACAGTGGATAATTATAATACGGTAATGTTAAATGAACTTGGTAACATGAGCTCAACCTAATTAGGAAAATTAAACATGAGGGAACGAACGAGCATGAGTTAATAGAGGTTGAGAACGACCATTATTAACTTATTAGGTAATTATACAGTACGTCCTGTAACAATATTCGAGTTGTAATCATTTAACAAGTATAAAAATCGAACTAAATCATTTTCAGCTTTAAGGACGTCTTCAAGTTTTTCACAGAAAATTTTGGACACGCCTTTTCCCACACTGACCAGTAACTAGTATTTCTTAGGCGTCACGTGAGGTAACTTCTTTTCCCCTGGAACGGTCTTCGATATCGTTCTCATAACGTTAGGACCAGGCGTTTAGCTATTATTATAAGGGAAGTATCTTTTTCTTTTCCCCTTTAATGACCCCTTCCCTTACTTAGATTAGTTTATTTTATTTTTCAAACTGTTTTTATTTAACAATGAGATTTAGGTTTTCGTGTAGATCGAGGGTCTTAATAAGGTTTAAAGTTGAGATGCATTTCATGTGGCATCTTTGTTGTCATTCTTAGGGTAACGGTTTGATAAACATTGATGCAGATTACCCCCATGAATTTGTTATCTGGCCCAAGAGTTGTTTACCGTGTAGACTCCTTTGATGAACATCAAATATTGTTGGGTTTTGCACACATAACATCTTCTTCGGGTAGCTGTTATTATCCTCCTTCTTAGGTTTACCTTGTTTTTCTATTCATTGTTAGTAATTACAGTTCCTCTCCCATATATTCTTAGGACTTCCTCTAACTTATTTTTTCCTTCATTTTTATCGAATAGGTGGTGGATTTTCATTCTAATAATGCGTCGCCTAAGGCTTGTCACTGGTTAGTTATAATTAATGAATGAAGTAATTATATCAGTCTTTTCATAACGTTAAAATTATGGTGCTTGGCTATTTTATGAGGGAAGTATCTTTTTCTTTTCCCTTTAACGGTCCCTCCCCTTACTTAGATTAGTTTATTTTATTTTTCAAACTGTTTTTATTTAACAATGAGATTTAGGTTTTCCTGTAGATCGAGGGTCTTAATAAGGTTTAAAGTTGAGATGCATTTCATGGGTATCTTTGTTGTCATTCTTAGGGTAACGGTTTGATGAACATTGATAAATTACCCCCCATGAATTTGTTATCTGGCCCAAGAGTTGTTTACCGTGTAGACTCCTTTGATGAACATCAAATATTGTTGGGTTTTGCACACATAACATCTTCTTCGGGTAGCTGTTAT